TCACTCACAATGACAAGAAATTGAATGAAATGGAATACAAAATGAGTACATTATTTCCTTTTCATGTTAACCTTGTATGTTTGAGTGTGTATATCCCCTGGCAAAATCGACCTAAGGCTTTCTGTGTCGTCTACTTTGATGCAGAATGATAGCTATTTTACATAGTAATATAGTCGGATCTGACAGTGATAAAGGTTCCTGTTACAATCGGGAGATATGGACTTGAAAAACGATTCGTAGCATAGCTTTACTCGCATTGCAAGATAACATTCATCTTCATTGGGACCCGCTGAGCGGTTATAAGATCACAATACGCTCCAGATCAGACATTCTCTGAATCTTGTATTCTAGGATTATGAGAAAAGCTATCATTTGGGCAGGAATTTACTGCATATGGTGGAGTCCTGGTCCAGAAAATGTGCAGCATTATCGGATTCTACTGCGACTGAAATGCTTTGAATTTGTCACAGATCTTTTTACAAATAATTTATTATCAGGAGGATTCAATTGGGACATAAAGTTGCCTTTAAATTCATGGAATCCTTTGTAAGATCCGTATTCATTCTATTTCGTTTGAGGAGATTAAGAACTGGCAATTAAATTTTCCTATCATTGTATGCCTTGTCCTTTGTTTTCAATTTAATCTCAAAATTTCTTGCTTTCCAAAAGGTATTCTTAATCTAGATACATTGCAATTTATGCCTTGCCTAGGTAGCATCATCATCACCAGCCGGAATAAAAATCTGGTTATGGTTATGCCACGTAACATCTCGATACATTACCCATTGTTTCTGGTCCCGCTTATGTTTTGGTTGAGACCTAGCTAAGGTTAAATCTACACTTCATCATGGATAAGAATAGCTTTTTTTAAGCAATGCCATGTGATTTTCAATGTAAAATTTTTACCTATTCATATCGTTGCTAGAAAATTTTACTACCATTCCTTCATCAACTTATACAAAATAGTAAGTATACTCCTATTATATTAAAGCTAACGGTAGTCCTGAAATCTACTTGCAAACTAACTTATATGAGATAGAAGACTCGAAATCCTATTTATGAATGAAAAATAGGTAATCATATGTTTCACATTATTAAGTGGTGCTTGTCGTGCTAACTGACATTTTTATTTGGCAAATATATATTTAACTCTGTGGCCATGCTATGTATTATCTCGTTTTGCAAAGGTGTACCTGGCCCGCTTCGCTCTGGTTTCGTCGACCTACTGCTTACTATGCACCTGGACAGTCACGTGAAGATGAAACAAGTGACGGGTCAGGAGTACCTTGTCCCTCTTGACCGTGATAAGTTGCTAAATCCAAAACCGACTGGCCGACCAGAAGATTTCTTGCAAAATCTGGACCTGGATAAAATTCCTTCCGTCTCTGAGCACATTAGCATCAGGCCTGATTTGCACATGGATCCACATCTTTTACTGTGAGTTCGTGAATATTTACAAAATTTCAACTTTTTTTAGACTAATTAGCTTGCTTTTCCATTCATTTGGAAGATAATTAACATATTTTTTACAGATTTCGCGTCTATCTTCCATATTTCATATCTGCTAACAAATATTGTAGTGAATATTGTCT